GAGGAAAAAGGAGAGAAACAAAGACTAGGAAAGGCTTTCACTCAGCCTCGTTTGTTTTAGCTACTTGTGTGTTGAAGCCGCGGGGAAGAAATAGATCTAGTTCCTGCCCTCCATGAACTCAGAGCTACAGAATCACCGGCCATCAAAGGAGGGGGAGATCTCAGAGACGTCGTCCAAACTGGGACACGGGGAGGTGCAATGAAACACCTACAGAAGAAAAGGGAACACGCACCTTTGCACCCATACAAAAATAACATGAAACATACAAGTCAGCAGTTCCATGCAGGCCCTCAACAGCCGCAGCCAAACACCTGTTACAGTAAATACAGGTGCTTCATGCTGCCACAGGCGGGAGGCCAAGTCTTTGTGCTGCAACTGGAGGGGGAATTGCAAAGGTAGGAAATAGTATGACATTGACCAAGAAAGTGCAAAGCATTTAATGCCTTTGAATATATTTGAATAATAACTTGGTATTAGTATGACAATTAGTATTGGAAATATTAGTATTGGAAATGGTATGACATTGACCAAGAAAGTGCAAAGCATTTAATGCTTTTGAATGTATTTGAATAATAACTCGGTAGGAGTAGAGCTTACTCTTAAGAGAAAAGGGAAAAGTACGGCTGAGATGCTAAGGGATAGAGCACAAACAGCTCAGAGATGCCAAGAGAAGCAGCCAGGTGGGCTCATCAGGAAAGGCTTCCAGGAAGAGGGGGCATCTGGGTTGCACTGAAAAAAGAAAAACTTGCATTAGCAAGTGAGGAAGCAGAACGAATAAAATATTCATAGGATAAGGTGGTGTGGGAGGTGGGACAGGAGTAAGTTAGCTCTGAGGTTCAGTTCAATTCAACAAATGTTAGTTGAGAGTCTACTAAGAGCCGACATCCCCGATAAATATAAGGATGACTTAGAGCCATAGGATGCGCAAGTGCCGCGGGAGCTCGAGGGTGGTGGGTGGCGGGTGGAGGGAGGGCTTAGCCCAGGCGGGGCTGGGGGCCTTAGGGAAGGCTCCCGGGGCACTAAGCCTGAACAGCTCTGGCGGGATGAAGAGGAGTGAGCCAAGGGGCAGGGGAGCGGCCACACGGAGGTAGGATGCAGCTTGAAGTGTGTGGAAACCGCTGACACTGGGATTTCTAGAAGGTCAAGTGCACATTGGAGAGAGCCGAAGATGATTCTAGAAAGGTAAATAGCAGCTAGGTTGGGCAGGACCTAACCTAATTTCAACTTCATCTCAAGTCACTGGGGAGCCACCGAAGGTTTTTACCCAGAGTGGTGATACTAGATTTGTGTTTTAGAAAGATCATTCTGGCAACTCTGTGGAGCACAGATTTAAGGGGAGCAAGCTGTGGGCAAGGGAACCAATCAGGAAGCTATTGCAGTAGTCCAGGGGGTAACAATGAAGACGTCAACCATGGGAGTGGACCTGGGGAGGGAGGGGGAGACTCATGGCCTGCTTAGGAGGGCTGTTTGGCAGAACTTGGTACAAAGCAAAAGAGAGGAAGGCTGGCATGGGTGCCTGGCTTAAATGAGGTGGGGAAGTAGCAGGGTCACTGGACCATGAGGGAATGAGTCTGAGGGCGCTCAGATGCTCAGGTCACGGCTTGTGAACGAGGCTGGAGTCAGAGTCCACAGCTGTGGATGGACCGAGCGCATCTAAGTGCTGGTGAACAGTTCCTGGAAGTCCCTGGATGAAGACCAAGGACTTGGCAGGTTTTCAGGTTTAAAGCCGAAAGTCCGTGTCTGGAGGTGAGGCTGGGGGAGAAAGCATTGTGTGTGTGTGTGTGTGTGTGTGTGTGTGTGTGTGTGTGTGTGTGTATGTGCACACGCACACAGGTGTGATGCATGGCTGGAGAGAGTATCAGAACATCTGGCTAGAATTCCTGAGCTCTAGGACTTCACCTCTCCTGCACGTGCTGAACCTCAGCTGAGCCTCCTGGTGAGAACCAGCTGGAGCTCAAGGCCCTCCGTCTCAGCGTTCTGCAAGGGGCCGCCTTCCCAAAAGGTGATCAGAGAGAGGACCTGAGCTAACAAATACAGGAGGGAATTACTAAAGCAAGGTATGTGCACACGCACACAGGTGTGATGCATGGCTGGAGAGAGTATCAGAACATCTGGCTAGAATTCCTGAGCTCTAGGACTTCACCTCTCCTGCACGTGCTGAACCTCAGCTGAGCCTCCTGGTGAGAACCAGCTGGAGCTCAAGGCCCTCCGTCTCAGCGTTCTGCAAGGGGCCGCCTTCCCAAAAGGTGATCAGAGAGAGGACCTGAGCTAACAAATACAGGAGGGAATTACTAAAGCAAGGAGTGGATCATTAGAGGCCGCTCCGCACTGTGGTACAGGGTCCATTTCAAGGGCCCTTTATGGTGACAGGGACCTGGGTGGGCATGGGGTGGATACAGCATCTAATTAGGAGGCCAGAGAGACTGGAGTTCTGTTTCTTGCTTTTTTGTTGGCCAGCTCTGTGACTTTGGAGAATTCACCTCGCCTCTCTGGGCCTCAGGTTTCTCAGCTGTGAAGTGGAAGGGGTGGATTAGATCATTTCGTATGGGTTTCTTCCAGCTCTAAAATTCCACAAGTCTGAAGAGTGCAGTCAGAGAGCTGCTGTCTGTTAGCTCCTTCTCTGGTCTATCTCCACTTTTCCAGAATCTAACGTCTTCTTGATTGAAAACTTGGGAGCAGGAAGGCCTCCTTCATGCCCACCCTCCCTTTCTCCTGTGTCAACATAAACCTTGCTGGGAAGAATGAAACGTCTTCTCCCTGTTGCTCAGAACAAAGGCCCCCTCCTCAGCCTTCAGTGCTGCTGAAGTGCCTTCAGTTCTTCTGATGATGGGTGTGGCGTGGAGGGCAGGTCACACATGGTGCGCCCAGTGCAGTGGTAAGGTCTCCTCACACGCACACGCACACGTACGCTCCGCGCCTCCGTGGTCCACCAGCCTCTGTGCCTGCGCTTGCACTGGAAGGGCTTCCTCTCCTTCCCAAGGCCTCTCCTGCCATCGGAACCCTGACCCCCAGCTCTCACCATCCGCAGTCACAGATGATAAGCTACTACTAATGTCTCGTGGTCATAAATACCCATAGATGACAGAATCGACATTAACGAAAATACTAGCAATGGCTAACACTTTAATATATTTCCTATGTGTCTATCTCATTGAATGCTCACAGCCGTGAGCTCCTACCGACAACCAGCACAGGGCCACACCACTAGCAGTGGGGTACGGCCGTTAGCCTTGCCTTCTGGTCACCTCCTCTTTGGGGGGGCACACTGTCTTCTCCCTTCTTCTAACTCATTCTCCTGTCTTGCTCACTTTTTCCCCAGGATGGGTGCAAGAGTAATTTTCCTAAAATCCACCCTTCAGTGGCTCCCCATCATAAACAGGACAAAATCCAGGCTCCTTACGATGGCCCCAGGTGGCAGCCCCTCTCTTTCCAGGATTCTCATAATTGCGTGCACTCGCTATCTGCTTACCCAGACTGAAAACGACTTCCCTTCCCCTCTGCTTCCAGGGCCTCCCAACCATGAAGTCCTACTGAGTCTACCTTCTTCATACCCTCTGTATGTATCCCATTTCTCTTTATCCAGTGTCGTAGTTTTGTATCCTTGTAATTTCTCTTCAGGAGGAGCGCTGCTCCCCCAGCCACTGGGGGAGTATTCTCCCTAATTCCTCACTCACTCCTCTCAGCCACTGGGATAAAACCCATACTTTTGATCCAGCACGTAAAACTCCATGTGATCAGGCCCGCCTTACCTCCTTAGCTCTGTTTCTGCTGTCACCCTCTCTATTGAGAACCTCTTGCAGACAGCACAGTCCGCCAAAAGTCCTGGCCTCTGAACGTGCTCACGTTTATGTTCTGCCTGGAGCAACTCCTCACCCACACCCCAGGGCTCTCCTTACCTGCTCGGTGAACACCTCTCATTTTTCAAATGTCTGAGTGATGTTCCGTCTATGAAACCTGATTGCAGACTCCTCCACCCCAGGCCAAATGGATGCTTCTTTCTCTGAGCCCCTTCTGTCCCTGTTGTACTTGCGTCATTGCCTGGACAACCCCACATGCATCCCTGTGCTAAACTCTATGCCCCAGTAAATTCCCTGGGAGCAGGACACATGTTAGATTCCACTTCCTGTCTCCGGCCCGCAGCATACTGCCCCGCACATCCTAGGGTAAATGTGCACCAAAGGTCAAGTGGGTGAATGAATTGAAGGCATTCATGACCTGCCATAGTCTGATGCCAGTTCACCTACCCCTTCTTATGTTCCATAAACAATAAAAATGTGGTGCCGTATAACTGCCATGCACATATAGCTTGCAAGTGCATTTAAGGAGGTGATCACTTTTAAACCTCCCAACCCTGCACTGCGACAAGTATCCAGCGCTCCAGCCATGGAGACTGTTCCCCGGATGCACCACACGCTTCCCTGCCTTCGACCTCAATGTCCCTCATGCCCAGAATCTCTTTCCTTCTGTAGCTTCTGGTTCAGGGCTTAATTTTGCCCCACACACTCCCTTCTCGGTACACGTGCCTCTTTTCCCACCATTGGGATGATCATTTCTCTCATTAACACTAAAGCCAACAGTTGGCCTGAGCCTTATATTTACTAAAGCTATTGATTATAAGTGCCTCCAGAGCAAGGCTGTGCCTCCTTTATTGATCCCATGATCTCTATGGTATTTAGCATAAACTGTGGTATGTAGTAGGTCCTCAGTTCTTGTTGCTGCTTAAAATAGATTGAACTGAATCCATTGTTTAGGTTCCAAAGTTCTCCCAGTTTTGCCAGAACCCCAGGCAAAAAGCAATAAAGAAAGTGGCAGGGAGGGGTGGGCGTTGCGGGTGCATGAGGGTGGAGTTGGCGGTCGGGGAGGGAGGACAGACTGCTTCAAGTTGACAGAAACTCTTGCACGGAAGTTATAAACACCATTTCTTGCCAAGGAGTTGCCTGTGGATGTTTATGGAAGCATCATTATTACCATTATTTAATTTTGATTATCTCCATCAGCATGCTGAGCGTGGAGTAATGTGCCGTTGGCCAACCGAAGCCCGTGCCAGGAGCTCCTCATGCCATTTCCTCTGAATGGTTCTCGGAGCCTCTTCCCGTCCTCCAAGAATTCATGCCATCTCGAGAGGTGGGAGGTACCTTGCAGACCTTCTGTCCGAGCTGCACACTGTACAGATGAGGAATCCGGGGCCCAGGGAGGTGTGCTGGTTCGCCTGGTTGGCAGAGTGGGATTCAGACTCAGTTCTGATTTCCAGCTCACGTGTGTCTGGCTACTCTTTCTACTAAAATCTGCTCCCACCAAAGTGTCGGTGGGAGCTCCTCATTGTCTGCCTCCTTGCACTCTGCTCAGTTCAACAAATACTTATTTTATTGAGTCTCTGCCCCTGCAGAGGGGCTGGAGCCAGGGGATACTGAGACAGTAGAGAGATGGGGGAGACAGAGCTTCTGGTCCCAACAAGTTCATTGCCTCCGCCGTGGGCAGAGGGGCCTGCGATGGCGAGAGCACAGAGGCGACCTGACTTGTATGGAGGGCCTCACAAAGCCTCTGCAGACCCATTTCTGTGGGCTTTCTTTCTGCCCCCTCTCTTGGGCCACCCACTATGCCCATTTTACTGCTGATGAAACTGGGGCTGGGAGGGCAGAGCTGGCACCTGATTGAACCTAAGCCCCAGGTCCTTCCCACCGAGCCCCTGCTTCCCCTCTGAATGAATGAGAAGGAGGAACCCTGCGGGGTGCCTGGCCTGTGGCGGGCCCACCTGCAGAAGGTGGGAGCAAGGGAAGAGGCCAGACCTCGGAAGGGGAGGGAGCCTCCCGGTGAGCTGCGAGAGCCTGACATTTGCTGTCATCATCAACAGCTGTTCGCAGCTCCCCTCCGGCCCTCCTCCACTTCCTTCTGGAAGACACACAACTCAAGTCCTTTACTTTTGAGGCTCTAACAGAGCTGGGGGGGCAAGCGAGTTAAGTTGGCAGGTCTGGGGAGGGGGGCCCTGAACAGCAGGCATCTTTGTGGAGAAACTAAGGAGGAGGCTGCATCAGCTTTGTAGGCAGCCCCCTCCCATGCCCCGGCTGTCCAAGCACCGTCTCGGGAATGCCAACGCGCCGTTAATTTGTGTGCCTTGCAAATACTTTATTGGCATCTCGTGGTGTTGAAAGTCATGTAATTATGAGCAGAATTTATATGTCGCCAGGGCTGCCTGGGCGCCCTCCCTGCGTCTCCTTCCAGGCACTGCAAATATTGAAGGCTGGCTCAGAAGAGCATCAAGCCTACCCGCCTTGATATCCATGCACCCTGTAGATAAGGTTTTAATTGAAAATCGGTGCGTCTGTTCCTTGTGCCTAATTGCAAGCTGCCTGTACTGCCAGCACCCTCAAGGAAGACCTGGGGTGGGTCCTGGGACGGGGATGGCAGCGACCTCAGACTCTCCGTCTCCTCCCTCCTGCCTCCCAGTCCCACGGCTGGTGATTCTCTGGTGAGGATAGGATGCAGCTCGCTGCTGGCCTCCTCCCTTCTGCCGGCGATACATTACCACCCCTTTTCCTATCAATTGGGCAAAAGCTGTCCTTGTTTGTCCACACCACCCCTTTTCCACCTCAGCCTGCCTGAAGGCCACTCACCCCATTCAGGACACTCCTTCCCAGTCCCTTGTCTTCATGCTCTTTCCCCTCACCTGCTTGAGACCCTCCTCTTCCAGGAAGCCCCTGTGCAGTGACTTAGGGGCCATCGTCCGAGATCTCCTGCTCTTGTGTATCCACCCTGAGGACTTGCCTCTCCCATTGGGCTGGGGCATCCTGCCCCCTCTGAAACCACCCCCTCAGCAAAGCAGGACAAGGCTCTGCCCCTGAGTTGGGGCTCACAGGGGCCTGGGGGCGAGGAGCTGGGTCATGGGCTCTGCCTGCCTTCGGCCAGGGACTCCTGAAGGTTGATCACGGCGAGGTGGGAGAGGCAGGGGTCCGTGTGGCTGCCCAGCCCGGGTGGGGCCAAAGTGGTCGGAAGCAAGGCCTTGGGCAGAGCAGGGGCGCCAGGACCTGCCCATGTGGGCTCGCATGGTGCACCCTCTCTGGGCGCCCCAGTCACATGCCACCGCTGTCACATTTGGCTCTAACAGTAATTCCCCTGCCGGAGAGCAGGAGGAAGAATTCATTTCCCAGCTCCAGCCAGGCGGCTGTGAAATATGATTTCTAAAGTGTTAATAATGCATCACGTTTAGATAGCACTTTACATCTTCAGAGCGGCTGGCGGGGCGGGGGCGCTGGCAGCCCGGGCCTGGGACTGTGGGGCTGACTGCTGGGTTTCATTTCGGGATCTCTCATCTGCAACACGTGCCTACTCTCTGGTGCCTTAGTTTCTCTTCCTGAACTGTGACGGAATCATGCAGTCTTGGCTTTCCGCCAGGGTGCAGAGCCCAGCCCTAGCCACCCACCCCCTTTTCCCAGACCTATATTTCTCCTTCATCTGTCTTCCCATAGAAAGCCCCCAGCTCCATCAAGCCTTCCTTGGTTGAGTGCCTGTTGTGTGCCAGGGCCTGCGGTACAGGGGTACCACTGCCTCTGGGGGCTCCTGGGATAAGATGGGACAGAGGTGTGTGAGTCCCCTGTCCCCAGCACTGTGACTTACAGTGAGGGCCGCTGAGGGATGACACCATCCACTCTGCTGTATTTTGGGGGCATGGACATGTGGGATGTTCTCTGCAGGCTACCAGGGCATCAAGGAACCCATCGAGCTCACTTCTGTGGACCTGGAAGGGAACCCCTGCTTAGAGCCATGAAGCCTTTAGGGTCCTTGACCTCCTGAGAATGGGAGCCACTGCTGCTCCTATACCTTTTACATGTGTATGATAAGTACCCTTACTTCTTCATGCCTTCCCACAGCTTTTCCTAGGTCTAGAATATTCTCTTCTGTCCATGGCACTGAGCCTGTTTCCACTCATCACTCCAGAGGCTTGGGAAGTCTCTCCATTTCCCAGCTCACATCACAGCCACTGCTTCCAGGAAGCCCTCTGAGAGTGACCTGAGGAAAAGAGAAGACATGTAATGGTTTTGATGGGCTACCCCAAGTTCCCCCATTGCTCCCACCCAACAGACAGCTCCCCTGACCCCAGTACTGGGGCACTGCCCTTTTGGCAGCAGTTGGGTCCCTGAAAGGTATATGGAAATTATATTTGTAAACTCATACTCATTTTTAGGAGACCTAAATTTCCAATTTCTAGGAGTCTTGCTCTGCCACCAGCTGTCTTTGCACATCTTTGGACCCCAGTGTCCTCATCTAAAAAATGAGGCCACTGAATGGTGATCACTGGGGCTTTCTCTGACATTCTTTAACGGCACTCCTACTTCAGACAATCCCTTGGTGAATTATTAGGGAACTAGAAGAAACTGATAAGCATGGAATTGCCTCACAGCGGTCTGATTTCACAGAGCGAGTGGGGCAGGTGTGGGGGGTGTTTTCCTGGAGGGGCGCTCGCCTGCTCCCTAACACCCTCCTGGACTGCTCCTGTCTTCAGCTGCGTCCGTGGCCTGTGGGTCTGGCCGGGAGTGGGAGCTCCCAGAGGGCCGGGCCCCGGGCTCTGTAATTCTGTTTGCCCTTTGCCCTGTGCCACCAGCGGATGCTCACTCAAAGCTTTGCGGGCCAGCAGGAGCCCAGCGCTTCCCCTTCCCCTCAGCCCTTCTGACTCCTCTCACTTCCCAGGAAGACAGTTCCTCAGGAAGTTTCCCCAAAGGGCTGGGCTGCGGCTGTTCAGCTGACACCATAGCTGACGAGTTATTAAAAATCCTCATTATTATTCCGTACTGTCTCTCTCCCTCCTCCACTCCTGCCCTGCCCCAGGCTTCCAAGGCCCATGGCTGTCACCGAGAAATGCCTGGAAGGCCCCTAGCCAAGCAGAGGCAGGCTTTCGTGCCCCTCTCTCAAAGCGCCCCGAAGATGTGGCAGCTGGCTGGAAGCAGTGGGGCTCGCCTGGGGCCGGGGGGTCTCACACCTGGGTTCCTGATCCTGCTTTCCGCAGAACTGTGCAGGCACTTGGGTGCTCAGAGGTCTTTGTATCAAGAAATGGTTGGAGAGGGATTTGCAGTCTCCCAGGGATCTTGGTTAGAGAACCATCTCAGAAGTGTGCATGTTCCAGACAGCATGGGGGACCCGACGCTTCCTCCCCCGGGGGAAAGAGTGACAGGCCAACTCCATCATCCCTCCCCCTGAGCTGGGGTCCGAACCAGCTCATCCATCACATGTCCCCAGCATCAGATTTGGCTGCAGCAAGAACGGAACGTAATACTCAGCTCCTCTCCGGGCTGCAGCGGCAAGTCCCGAGAGATGCAAGGGCCTTTGCTCTTTGGAGATTTGAGGAGAGAGGTGCAGGGCTCAGAGGGAGCGGGCCCTGCTGCAGAGTCCTGTGGCGAACAGGCTGTGTCCCCCACAGCAGGGCTTCCCACGGGCACCCAGGGTGAGGGGATCCCACGGTCAGAGCTCCAAGTGGGAAGATGCTCCGGCTCTGCCCCCGGATCTGGAGGCAGTTCGCTTATTCTCTGTCGCATTTCTCTCTACTCAAACCTGCCTCTTCAGCTCAGACTCACTTTTCCTGGTGTCTCGGGCACCAGGTTTCTTCTGTCCTAACTTCCTAGCCTTGTTCCGTCCTCCTTTCTAGGACCCAGCCCCTGGGGCAGAAGCTCTGGGTGGCTGGGTTAGAGACAGGAGCAAGCATCCGTAATCAGCCTGAGAATTCAGGAGTCTAGTTCCCGCTTTGATCTGGCTGGCAGGTGGAGCTGTGTCTTTTGTTTGTCTCTACCTTTGCTGGCCCAGATGGATGTTAGCCATCTATCCAAAGGTGTGGGTGCAGAAAAAACACCGATATTAGAGTCAATGAAGTGAACTCCTAGTGGGGACAGTGACTTTGAGGACTGGGGTGGGGATCGAGTCAGAGCTGGGGCTTGGGTGTGACCAGCGCTCAGTACAGGCACTGGGGGGGCCAGGAGGGGCCAGGAGTGAAGCAGGGGTTACTGCTAAGGGTAGGGGTTAAGGTTGGCTTATGTGAACATTTATTCAGTGAATGTCTGTTGATCACTTCTGCTGACCAGCCACTAAGGGAATTGAGATGTGCTGCCTTCAAGAAGCTCATGTCCTAGTTAGGATTTGGGGCTGGAAGGATTGTTAGGGTCAGTTTGGGGGCTGACTGTTTGGGTTCCTGTGGAAGTGGGTGTAGGGGTGAGATGATGTGTCAGCACAGAGGCTTCTGAGTGAGATCCTTAGTTCTCCCCTCCCACTGCTCCCGGGAGCTGTCTCTGCTGTCTAAGACTTTCAGGACTTACTGGAATCCGTTTAATGACAGTCACCATCTGCTACCCTCCTGGTGATCAGCCCCCTCCCCTTGCCTCCCCTGCCTCTCCGTCCCCCTTTCCCAGTGGGAGGCCTGCATCCTGCATTCCTGGGGGTGGGCTGGCACCTCCTGCCCTCTCCAGCTCTCTGACCCTTGCCCCTATTTCCCCATGATCCCTGCCCCTCTGCCCACCTATGCCCGGCTCCCACACTTCTCTCTCCCACACTTGGGGACCCTTGGGTCTCACGTGGAGTCCTCACCATTCTCTGGCCTCTCCTTGTTCCATTCTTGCCTTTTAGCAACACGTCCGTGTCACTACTTCCCTTTGACCCACTCCCAGGGTCCCCTCAGAAGTCCCCTCCCGCTCTCACTTGAGCCACCCCTTCCTCCTCCACGAACTCACTTCGAGGACCTCCTGCCCTATCCCTCCAGGCCCCCACTCACTGCCTCCTGGGCTGGAGAAGTTTCTTTTCATTTGCCCTCATCAGTCATGTGGGCAGACCCCTCGCAGGACACCTGCCTCTCTGACAGCGCAGCCAGGAGCCAGTGATTTTGTTTGGAAAAGTCATTTCCGTAGAGTTCGAGGAGTCAGGGCACGAATGCCGGTGTGAGGCAGGGAGCAGGGAAGGGTTTCTCCCTCCCTTGTTTCACTCCAGGTCAACCCTCTTCTCCCTGCCTTAACCCCACACCGAGAGGCTGGGGGTGGTGGCGTGAAATGTCAGGATTTCAGGAGTGGCTTGGGAAAGAAGTTCCAGAAGTATCTGAGCAAAGGTCAGACTGCTCCCATCCCCACCTTCCATTTCAGAGAATTTGCACATATCCCGCTGAGGGCCTGGTTTCCAGAGCCTTCTGTCTGTTCCCCACCATGCTCCCCGCCCCCCTGCCCCCTCCTCTGCCTTTTCCTGGCTCTCGGAGGCCCCTGTGCTCCTGTGAGAACCTCTTCTCACCACACCCCACCCATCCTTCCAGGACTGTGAGCCTGATTGACTCTGATATCCAAAGAAGGCCGAAGCTGCTCTTTGGAATGCACAGCGCCCTGTCCCCCTTGCAGGGAGATAATCGAGGGGGAATATTGGCTGTCCAGGAAACGAAGTGCTGAATTTGTTGTGAGATTGGTGTCACAAGCAATCAAAGGGAGCTTCTCCCCACTGAGGGCTGGGCGGCTAAATGAGGAATCATTAGGTGACTGCAGACACCAGGAACAGCAGAAGTGGAGGAAGGAGAGACCCCCTCCCCATTTCCCTGGGGGCCCAGCACAGGTAGATCAAGACGGAAGGAAAGAATCAGAGGTGCAGGGAGAGGGTGGGAAGGGGGAGGCAGGCTGCCTCTCCCAGGACTTCTCCTGTGCCTCGATGCCTCACCCTCTTTGCCACTGACCCCGTCAAGCCCTTCTTTTCGCAGCCTTTGTGAGGCTTCGGGGAGCACCTCCTTCAGGGCCGTGCTCGTCTGGTGTTTGGGCTGTCCTGAGGCTGACACAGGACACAGGATAAAGACACAAGGGAGTAGGGTTGGGTAGCATCACACCAGTGAAATTTTGGTGAGCAGTAAAGTTGCAAAGGGCACAAGTGAGAAGCTGATGAAGACACCAGCCAGAGGGGCTGGTTTGGATGGAATGGGAGAGGAAAATCAGTAACCTCTTTACAACCCATCTGGGAAGACTGCCTGGAGGAGGATGATTTGAAGGATGCAAGCCAAGCCCTGGGTGCATGCAGGCCAACTAGGAGATGAGGGGATGACTGGCCCCTGTGGGTTGCTCTCCCCTTTCTGCTAAATATTTGCCTCTTTCATGGAAATAAGGCCACAGAGCTGCCCTGGCTTTCACATGATTTGGGGTCCTGGGAACAGTCATCAGTATGCATGGCCTTGAAGAGAAGTTCTCTCCATAGACCCTGGCCCTGCACGCCGCACTGGTCACCACCACCAGGTCCTCCATCAGTGTCCTGTAAACTTACCAACAGTGGTTAGATGAATGCTTTTGGTCTCCCTGGGCTTCCCCTCTTCTCGGGGCATTTGTGTTCCACCTGACAAGCAAACTGAGTCAGGCGGAACAGGAAAGATCGAGAGCCACAGACCAGAGCTCCCGGCCCCAGCCTCCAAGCCTCAGCGTCATCAACCCCAAAGGCCTACCCTGAGCGCTACCCTATGTAGGCCGCTGCCTATGGAATCCCACCACACTGAGGCCCTGCTCCTGCAGCTGTTAATTACAGAGCCTCCACTTGCAGCCTCCCTCAGTTCCCTGCAGCAAATTAACATTCTGTGCCCCTTGCCCGGGTGGAATGAACCAAGGTAGATGGATCGATTCAGCAGCCGGTCAGAGCCGCTTTACTTTACGCAGGATTGATCCAGATGACCCCAACTTGTGGCCTCTGGAAGCGCCTTTGTAGGGAACCTTTTTAATGGAGATTAATTGGAAAAGCCTAGAATGTCCTAGTTATAGGTAGAAAGTGCCCCATTCTCCTTTTTGGTGGCTACATGGCATCACATCTATATAGACACGCAGTAACATACACACAAGCTCACAAGACACAAATGCGAAGAAGGACACGTACGCCGCCCACCCCCCCGCAACAGACTCACACTAACACCACTAACCAGCTGCCTCTTCCCTTCTGATTCTTCTAAGCCCATTCCTGAACCTTACCGGTTAGACACCCTGTGGCTCTGTACAGCACACCAGCCACAGCCTCCACGTGTGTCTTTCTGAATCTGGACCTCTGAACTTTGTCTGCGTCCAGTCTTTCTCAACAACTTAGAAGTTCCTGGAGGATAGAGATTGAGGAGAAAGCTTTTCATTTTTAAAGAGATATGACCTTGTTTCCAATTTCTTTGCCAGCCTAAATTCCAGGCACAACTATTTACGGGTCTTTTATGTCACCAGTCTTGGCACACGCTGTTCCCTTTGTCTGGGATGCCCTTCCTCCAGTTCTCTGACTGTTGAATTCCTTCTTGTCTTCAAGACTCGATGCAGTTCTAGTCCTTAAATGTATATTTACTGAATGTCTCCCGTGTGCCAAGCAGGGCCTCTAGTGTCCAACCCGTATGACATCACACTTACCGTGACACTCATCCACTAGACTGTAAGCTGGGCAAAGGAGGGCCAGGTCTGTTCTTCACTTTGCGTCCTAGCGCCCAGGACAGTGCCTGGTATGTAGTGTTCACTTAAAAAAATGTTTATTACTTGAATGAATGATGATTGAATTGACTTTCTCTGGACCCGGGTACTTTATCCGTTACTTGTTAATTCAGATACTCAAATGACAAGCATTTGTTAAGCACCTGTTCTGTGCAAAGCACTTCTGTACTGTCTCTTTTGCACAACTAAGATTACATCTGTTGCCTCAAAGAATTTACAATCTAGTCATGCAAAAATGGATACCATATAGCTGTAGACAAAAGCTACAGGTCTAAATCAGCACAATGACGTTGAGGTCCCCATCACTCTGTCATTGAAGTCTCATGATTAATTGCCATGGGACAAAAGTTGTACTTATATCTCTGACCCCATCCTCGACTGTTTTCTAAACGGTTCTTTTCCCTGCAGATGGCTCTGTTCACAATCCCTTCCTTTAAACTTGAGCATTGCAACCATGTCAGCCCACCTGGATCGAACTGTTACACGCTGATTATTTGAGAGGTGTATGTGTGTCCAAAGGAAGACGAAAATACATGAGGTGTGTGAAGAGAATCACGAAGCGCCAGGATTGAAAGGGGTCTTAAATACCACACAGAGCCCTCTGAATCATTGCTTTCTGGTGGTCACCTACCCTTACCCTGAACACCTCTGGTCTCCTCTGGGAGTCAGTAATGTGTGTCTGGCCTGGGGGCTTGTAAGGAGGGCTCACAAGGGGCCTGGGAATACCCCTGCGTTAGGGGCCTGTAGGGTGTCTGCCCCGGCAGCCCTGCCACAAGGCCCTGCTGGAGGGGGAGGCCAGGGCCGATGCCGAGGGCACTCATCAGGGCCCCGGCCTCCCTGTATTAGTTGCCCACCTGGCTCAACACTTTTTTAAGTGAATACTACATACCAGGCACTGTCCTGGGTGCAAGGATGCAAAGTGACCAGGTCGGGTGGTCCACCTGAAAGTGCTGGAGAAACGTGCAAAGTCATTTGTGATGAAGAGTCCCCAGCTCTGGAAAGGGATAAAGGTCTTAACACCAGGATTTGCTGGTCTGTTTTTATTAATTTTGAAGGGAGGGGGTGCAGAAACAGAATATACTCATTAACCTTAGAAATGGAGGAGAGGTGTCCTTGAGGGCTCCTGTCTGGTGTCGGGACACCTGGGCCTCCTGGGCTCTTTGGGTTTCCCGGTAAAGGACAGAATGTCCCCTTACTGCTGCCTCTGCCCTCATCTGCCTGGATGTCTCAGGGTTGAGGCTATTTATTCTGGAGATTGTTCCTAAAAGTGCCCGGAGACCTCTGTGGAGTGGTTCTGGGGATCGGCCTGCCTTTCTGGGGCCTGCAGCCTGTCAGGGGGACCAGTCTGGCCGCTCTTAGATTGTCCTCCGGAGTTGACAGTGGTGACTTAGAGGGCTAAATAGCACAGGCGGAGGCAGGCTTCCAGAGCAGGGCTGGTCCTTCCTCCCAGGGAGGCCTTGGGCCACCTGCCTGCGGAGGAACCAGGGGCAGGGACTGAATGTCGGAGGACGGAATGGGGTTAGACCCCAGGACAGGGTGGTCTGCCAGAAGGGGGCAGGGTGGTGGGAGACCAGGGCCACCTCAGTACCTCCCCTCCTGGGGCCGCCCGCTGCCTGGGGCACCGGTCAGCTAGCCGCTCGAGGACACCTCCCGTGGGAGGGAGGCCAGGGGTAGTTGTGGTTCGTGGCCTGTCTTCCTTTGTGGGGGGCAGACAAGGGCCCTGTCCTCCGGGCGCCTTGGGAATTGCCTCAGACACAGCCCACCTTGCTCTTTCCCCCTCCCCCTCCTTGGCTAACCCTTTCCATTTCCCAAGGATTTCACTCCTTTTCTCTGACCTAAATGCTCCAGAGCTTCCGCGGAGGCTGGAGGGTAGTGACCGCCTGAGAGGTCCGCGCCCCGCGCCCCGTCGTCGGCCTGTGGCCTGTGCCCCCCACCCCCGAGCCTGGCCTGCCTCCCCCGCCCCCTCCTCGTCTTCCCCACTTTCTTTTCCCCTTCCCCTCTGCCCTTCCCTCTGTTCTCATTTTCCTCTCCCAGATGGTCGCATTACATTTCTTCTTGATTCTCACTTCCCATTTTTATCCATCTTCCCAGCCTTCTCCATAACTTCTCTCTTAGCCACTTTCCCCTCCCTCCTTTCAGTGAAGGAGGGTTCCCAGTGAAGACCCCCCAGCCCCATCCTGCCCCCACCAGCAGTGCAGGACAGCAAGTTTTGGGGTGTGCCCTGCCCTGGGGAAGGGGGCCCTCTGCCAAGGGGAGGCGGGCCCAGAGGCCGCCAGGACTTCGGAGACATGCCCACCCCAGACGCCCCTCTCCTTTGCCCATGCTCAGCATCTTCAAACCAGAGGTGCTGGATCGGTGATCCAGACCTTTCCAGCTCTACCTTCAGATTCTCTTTCTGATTTCATTCTTTCCTGGCCCTTTCTCGTGCCTGTCCTGATCCCTGTCTCTCTCATACCGCAGTGCCTCCGCAGCTCCTTTCTGTCCATACCTTAGAACAGCCTTGCACAGACTCATCACCACATTTCCTGCCCCCGACTCCCCTCATCTGCTTTGCTCTGTCCTCCCTGACTCCCTCTTCCCATCCTTTTCTGCATTCTCATTTCATCCTTGCGCATGGGACCATCTGCCTATGTATTTGGGGACTGCTGGTGACCCAGGCCTGCAAGCCCCTGAGCCACTTGCTTCCCTGGTGGGGGCAGGGGAGGCAGATGCAGGCCTGGAGGTGGGGGAGGACGGGGCACCTCTTCACCCACCCCCTCCACCCCTGGTGCCTCAGCCATCCCTGCCAGCCTTCCCCGTGTCCTAGCTGCTGCCCTCTCTCCTGCATCTCTCTGGCTTTTGTTCTTCCTCCTTGTCCTGTCTCCTGTCTGAGCTAAGTCATCTGCAGCCACCTACCCCCCACTGCACCACCATCCCTGCCACCCCCATCTGCTCCCGCCTGTCATACCTGCTTCAGCCATCCCCACTTGGGCTCAGGGTGCCATTGTCCTTCCCTTAAAACCTTCTCAGGACCCCCTGCCAGGGCACATTTGCATAGAGTTGTCAGATGAGGTCTGGCCCAGGTGCCTCCAAGCCAGGGGGGCAGAGGGGGGCGCTGCAGGTCCATATGGGGCAGGGGGCAGTGTCTCCAGCTGCACCTGCCCGTCTGTTTAGCTTGGGGCCTCCAAGTCCTTGTCGTGGGCCTGGGCTGGCAGGTGACTTCGGAGACACAGGGCTGCCTGCCCGCTACTCTTTTTCCCATCGTGGCTCTAGTAGAAGAGATGCAAAGAACTCTGCTGGGGCGTTCTGTACAGAGAAAACAAAGAATGGCCTTTCTTTCCCCGTGCTGGCTGGTCCTCCAGGTCCTCTTGGCCACTGTCTAGTGTCAACCCCAAAGACCTCCCTCTGCACCCCTGCTGGGAGAAATGCCAGGCCTGCCCCAGGTATACCAGTTCTCCCTGAGAAAACGATGGGGTGTCAGCAAGGTCTGGCTGAGGCCCCGGGAGAGCAGGAGATGGTGCTAGAATCTTAGGGCATCAGAGCCAGGGCCATAGAAGCCCACACTGCCTACCTTCTGGCCCAGAGTGCTTCTGCCCCTCCCTGGCAGATGGTGCTGGGCCAGGTCCCCATTCCTTTGCAGGGTTCTGTCCCTGCCTCTTTTGGTGACTAATCCACTGGCCCAGGCCACTAAACTGATGCGCCCTATCACTGTGAACACCAGCCAGGCCGTGCAACCAGCCTCTGCACCCAGCCCCTGTGGTCTGCTCAAATGCAGGGAAACCAGGCCAGATTGTGGCCACTTGTAAAATCCCATCTGGTCCCTGGAAAGATTCCCCCTTTGCTGTCTCTACCAAAGCCCAGCCTTGGAGACAGACATCAGGGTGGCTCGGCCAGGCAGGCTTGGGGGCAGAAGAGAGACTGGTTCTTCAGCCTATGGCTTTGGTTTCCTAGGATGAGAAAGGATGGAAAGTGGAAAGGTGGTGGAGGTCGGTGGGAGGGTGGTGGAGGTCAGTGGGAAGGGGGTGAAGGTCGGTGGGAAGGTGGTGGAGGTCGGTGGGAAGGTGGTGAAGGTTGGAGGGAAGGTGATGGAGGTTGGTGGGAAGGGGGTGGAGGTCGGTAGGAAGGGGGTGGAGGTCGGTGGGAAGGTGGTGGAGGTCGGTGGGAAGGTGGTGGAGGTCGGTGGGAAGGTGGTGGAGGTCGGTGGGAGGGTGGTAAAGGTCAGTGGGAGGGTAGTGGAGGTCCGTGGGAAGGGGGTGAAGGTCAGTGGGAAGGTGGTGGAGGTCTGGGAAGGGGGTGAAGGTCGGCGGGAAGGGGGTGGAGGTCAGTGGGAAGGGGGTGAAGGTCGGCAGGAAGGTGGTGGAGGTCGGTGGGAAGGTGGTGGAGGTCGGTGGGAAGGTGGTGGTCGGTGGGAGGGTGGTAAAGGTCAGTGGGAGGGTAGTGGAGGTCAGTGGGAAGGGGGTGAAGGTCGGTGGGAAGGTGGTGGAGGTCAGTGGGAAGGGGGTGAAGGTCGGTGGGAAGGGGGTGGAGGTCGGTGGGAGGGTGGTGAAAGTCGGCGGGAAGGGGATGGAGGTCGGCGGGAAGGGGGTGAAGGTCGGTGGGA